GGACTGGTGACTCTTAAGTCAGAGGCCTTAGTGAAAGGATTGTGGAGATGCAGCATATTATAATTACAGTTTTTGATAGGCCTGCCATTTAACTCAAATCCCTATGACTTACTATTAGCTTACTATACCCGCTAATGTGCAGTATCCTGACTTTCATCAGTCTGCTGATGTAACAGTTAATATGGAAAAGTTCCAGCACCTTTTCGCTACAGTTAGCATATTTAGGAGTAAGGAGTTGAATTTTCCCCTTCTCTAGGCACAGTCTCCAACATCAGTTTGCAATGTCAATCCTCATGCCATATGGTGCTTATCTCCTCAAATGCCCACATGACCATCAGTGGCGCCATTAACATCATGATCTATTCACCCAGGATAGCAAAAATGACCACAACACAGAGGACTTGATTAGCAGTCTAATCTATTACTAAACAGAGATACCTTTCATGCAGCTTTGCAAATATAATTTCCCAAGAAGGAAGAATTTTTCACCAGGAGTTGATTTAGCCTGTATCCTTTCTTCTCTGAAAGTGGAACTCCTTTCCTTCACCCAGGGTTGACTATGAAACAGAAGCACATCAGCTGATCTCTCCTGTAACAGTAAAAACTATGGAGAGAAGAGTATTTTTATAAATAATCTATATACTGATATGTATAAACCACATTTTTAAAGTCTACTAATAAATATATATATTAATTAAGTTTAAACAACATAGGCTGCAAGGACAGGCACCAGTGGGCTCTTATACACAAATCTTCCATTGCTCCTTAGCATTTCAATACCAATTTAGCAACAAAAAAGGACCATGAAAGCTGTAAACGTGTCCACTAAGCAGCCTAGTATTAACACTGGTTAAACTAACTGCAAATGCTAACCCTTCTGATTATCTTGAAAGGCAATAACAGAAGACAATTTTATATATCAGGAAAGAGTAGATGCAAGAGGTTTCTGCTTTTCTTCATATCAGAAAGTTTCTAAAACATGGTCTGCAAAGTGGGATTTGAACAATTCTTTTGTGTTATCACAAAATTATACATGAAGTAAATTCAAACCAAAGTCAGATCTGCTTAGGCCCAACAGTGGATTGGTGATATTTTAGGCTTCCGTGCGTATGCTATTTGTTAAATCAGTTTCTGTAATATTTGAACATACTGGCACTGCAGACAGATTTAAGAATGGAGTGAATACACTAATTTGTCTACTGGTGTTTGTCAAGTCCTTGTCAGGCCTCCGGATTCCTTCAAAGACTGACATGACTAGTCCAACCTTCAACCAGTTCTAGAAATGATTTTGTGTTATAGACAATGGAGAAGCAACAAGAAGGATTTTTTTCCAGATTAGACTGAAATTGAGAAGGAATGTTGAGAATGTGGAGGTAGAAGGCAATTTGAGAAAAGATCACAAAATAAGAGTTCATTAGTCTTACGGGCAGAATGAAAGAAAAGCAAAATCATACATATCATACAAAATGTGAAAATGTATGCAAATTAATGAGTATAGAATAACAATACTTATAACAACATGAAAAGGCTAAGGCATGGAAAGAGAAAACAACTATGATGAAGATAAGGAGTAACAAGAAACATTCTGTACAGACATCAGAAGACAAAGGAGGACCAAAAAACATTTGGTCTATTCTTTAGTGGGATGAAAAACTTAATAATAAATGATTTTGAGAAAATCAAAATTATTAGTAGCTTTTTTTTCTTCTTCTTCACTATTAAGGTTACTTGCAACTAGGCAGCTAATACAATAGTATTAATACCAGTGACAAAAGGTTAAGAATTTAGGTTAGAATAGGAAAAGAATAGGTTTGGGCTTTTTAAGTAAATTCATTGTTTTCAGAACAACCAGCCTAATAAACAGGTCTTTGGGAACTGACTTCCTCAGCCTCAGATTAGCCAATCCCAGAGCTACAAATTAGTTTTAAAGAAACTGTTGGCAACAGAGACAGTCCCTAGTCTCATTATATTCTCATAAGCAAATTAGAGACAGCTGGCCTACATGAAATATCAGTGTAAACTGGTACTGTTTAGAAGAGAATACTTAGAGTTGTAGTTATGAGCAACATACTATCACACTGGAAGCATACCCTAAACAAATCTATACAGGGGTCTGTCTTGGATACTACTCAGTGATTCCTTCGCATGACAGATTACAGAGTAGTATTACAGTTGCAGATGGACCAGACAGGCAAGGGTTCGAACCTGCTGGATGATGGGATTAGAATTCATTACATTAGAACTGATGAGATTAGAATTCTGTCTTGACAGACTGAGAAAGACAAAAGCAAAGTATTTCATTTAGATAAGATTAATCCACAAATAAAGGGTGAGGGATGTAGGATGGGATGACTGGCAGCAGTTCTACAGAAACGCATCTGAGCATTATAGCCTTTCACAGATTTAACATCATACATTCTGTACTGTTGCAAAAAAAAAAAAAAACTCAGATCAGAACAAAGAAATAGGACAGAGAGTTGCAAACTATGTAAAATAGTCCTTCTACTACATTCAACACTGCTGAAGAATCAGTGTGAGTGTTATGTCTACTTTCAAGCAAGAACTATGTAGACCCATTGGAAAAATTACAGAAGGGAACAACAATGATCAGAGATTTAGAAGTAAATCTCAAAGAGGAAAGATAGTTGTTTCAAATTGTTTGGCCAGAGCAAGGGGGATCCAGGGAGCACACAAAATCATCTTCCCGTAACAGAAGAGCTTGTTGCAAAGGAGGGAATAATCTATTCTCCACTACGGAGGGCAGACAAAAAACAGTGGCTTAAGCTACAACAAGGAAGAAACAGGTGAGGTATTTTAAAAACAGAGATAAGGATAGAAAAACTGTGGAAATGTTTGTGGAGTGGAGGGTCACGGAGCCTCCATCACTGAGGTCTTCAAACCCCACTGGGTAGTCAAGCACTTGTCGGGAAACATATTGAGATAATTGATGCTGCTTAGGGGAGGGAGATGATGCCCTGCTTTAATATCTAGCTTTGTGACTCCGGGTGTCAACGATCTCTGATATTTGCAAGTATAAAACTTAAATTTTTCAGGTGATAAGATTTCAGTGAACTGCTGTAGAAAAGCAAAATGTATAGGTAAGTTACCATGAAAGGATGTTTTGCTATGTTTATTACCCATTTACACAGGGGTTGCTTTTGCAGCTAAATTAGTAAAGACATTGAACTAACTCTTCATTACTGCAGGTTTATTTGTTCCCTGAGAGCCCTGCATCAGTATCTCAAACCCCAGGCCATGCTACACTTACTCGTAAGTTATTCCAAATAAGTTATTCAAATGTACTTTCCCTTCTTGGCCACTGTATCTCTCGGACACTTGTAAACAGTTATCTTGTCTTCTCTCCCTTATTTACCATCAGTTGACCAAGCAATAAATATTTAGTCCTTTTCATCCTTCCTGATGAATCAATCTAGGTGGTCTTTTCAAAGTACTGTTGCCATTCTCTGCATTCTCTCCATACATCTTCATCAGTCATGCCAAACTATGTCAAATACTCACAGAAATAATGTATTCCCTCCTATCATCCTACGATTCTCCTGGAATTACTGCTTTCTAAATTCCTTCCATTTCCCACACTCCGAGTGTGCTTTTAGAATACTATCTCCAGATGGATTAGTTTTAATTTATGCAGTATAATTTTCCATTTTTTCCTAACCATAGAGCTCATCACTGTTTGTACTTAAATTGTACTTGGTGCTACCTACAAAGCCTCCCAAACTAAAACAATTTACAAATTAATTTAAGTGAGACTTGCAATTACTTGAAGATACTTCTTCTGCTGAAAGAGGAAACTTAATTTCTTTGTTAGTGACAGAAAGATAAGCAGCACACTACCAAACAGGACCTTAAATTAAGGCTGACAATGGTTAGCTTTGATCCTAAGACTAAAAATAAAACATTACACAATCAATTTGAATATACATTTGGTGGCAGATATGCTTTCTCTTATTCTTTCTTAATCATAAAGCTATTTTTTCTTGCTATGTAATTCCCATGGCACTGGCAGGACAGCAGTATATCTCTTGCTTTCATGTGTCAGAAGCTACCAAGTTGTTGTTTAATAGTAAAAGTTTATTTCTTTTCTTGCACAGATCCGTATTAAAACAATTACCATCAAATTCAGTTAAGAGACCATTTTAATTTTACTTGATTCATTTGTATATCCTAATCAACCTTATCATGTTAGTCACAATGTTTTGCCCCTCAGACTTTTCTGAACATGAAAATCCCTGGGAGTCTTTTAGCTTACTCTGAAAACGTTTGAAGTAATTACAGAGCTACTAAGTGGATTCTTTTGGTGTCTTTTATAAATTGCTCTTGATTATTGTTTGTTTATTATAACGGAATATATAATTTCCTATCTTAAAACATTCACATTTGTGTTCAGTATGTCCAAATGCAGTACCAGAGTACTGCAAAAGAACAAATCTTGTGGAAGAGGACATTTTAGGTAGTAAGCTGGTGTGAGTATATTGCTGTAAGAATGAGAGCAAAGACAGTATCACATTTTTGTTGGTCTACAACACTGAAAAATCTGACTGATTAGCTTCTAATTGTTAGTTACAGCAAGTCGCATTTACTTTTGCTTTCCTTAAAAAGAAAAGATGCGCTATACATTTCATTGAGGTTAGCGTTCAAAGACAAAACGTACCTGAAGTACTGTCTAGTAGTCATTGGGTACGTTCATAGCTGACAAAGGCATCTGAAGATACAATAGCCATCCTATCTGGATTCAGAGTTAAACTTACACACAGAAAAGCTGTATTACGTAGCAAGCTCAAGGTGTAACCCTCCAACTTTTTACAGGGCTTGGTATTTCTGAGCACTCAGTTTTTAAGGCAAGTTTTAAGGCAAAGGCCTTTACACAAAGTGATTTTTCCAATTCAGGATGAAAGGGAAAAGCTGTGGTCATCCATGAGGGAGCTGACATTTCATATCCACAAGTGCTCACGGTCTCCATTAGGAAAATACTTGATTACCATGCCCTTTTAGATATGTGATTTTTTTCTTAAAATTAGCATCTCTTAGGGTTTTGTATGATGGGGAACAAGGTTCAATACCTACAAAAATCAATGTTTGGACAAAACATAGAAATATTTCTATATAAAATATAGAAATATAATATAAGCAAGAAAAATATAGATTACTATGGAAGATATCTATCTAGATATATATTCTCCTGAAATGATTATGTGTAGATCTGAATGTAAAGCTTTGTTCAAAAGGGAAGATTTTTTAAAAGCAAAAGAGAAACCAAAAATACACAGTGGCTTTGATCCAATAGAGTTTGTCTAAATGTTTTTGAGGGAAAAAATCAGGACTATGTGTTAAATGGATTTTAGTCAATTGCATAAATCCTGGCTATGACACAGATATTTATTTTATTTTTCAATGGTTAGTATTTTTGTCTCCCAAGATTTCAGAGACAAATGATGCTGATATTTCTATCTTCATTTATGACAATAAATATATAAGTATTTTGAAGGACTGGCATGTCTACCGTTAGGAACTTTTAAAGGTTTAAACAGAAGTTCATCTCTGCATCTGAAAATGATAAAAATATCACTTTGTAAGCTTTATCTA